ACTCACACATTCATATACCTCACAAACCATTTCGGGTCATTCCGAAATTCCTGCAACCATAACATCGAATCCTTTTTTAGCGTTTTCTATCATAGATTCAACAACCATATTAGTTCTATTGATTAATGTATTTGCATTTAAGTTTATAAACGGTTTTATATACTTAGGAATGCGTATAACTATTACGGAACGCGTGAAACATCTTTGGGATGACAAATTGCATGTAGATTTATTGTACTTTTAGTCATTATGGCCATATAAGTAGCTTATAATCAGGGGTGGTTCTACTATGGTGCTCATAGCGGCACCGACAAGCTATGTTTTTTTCGGACGCAGTGTAAAATTTTTGGATTTTTCGTTTTTTCTACTATTGTGTCATTACGTAAAAAAAAATATGCTACTGGCAACACCTACTACGAAATCTTGCGTCCGCCCTTGCTTATAATATGTTAGTATTACTCTGTAGATAGGAAATAAGTATTATGGATGGTCCAGAGGAAATAAGTCTACATTACTTATTGAATTTGATTCTGGAAAGTGAATAAGAGTTCAGAATGCCTACAACTATTATGGATTGTCCGGAATACAAATAATTTATCCAAAATGTCTTTGTGGTACGTTTGCTTCCTTTTGTTTGTGACATCTTTAAGTTAATAAGTAATATTGTTTTGTATTAAACCAATACCTCTGAATAGTTTGGAATCAACCAGTGTGTTTGAAGATTGCCATTTTGTGTGGATGTTGCTAAAAAATATATATCATGTCCTTAATTATATGATCCTCTACTCTAAATTCACATATATATTACTTGCATTATTAATAAAGATCAATTAAGTGTTCAAAGCTTTTAATATACAAAATAACCTTTAATATACAAAATAACAGACATGAAACCATTTGTTATACAATCTCATCCAAATTAGTTGACATAGGACATTTGTTTCCCAAACCCTTCAAAAACACCATAAACATCACTAGAAACAAGAACAAACAAATTATGAGACAAAATAAAAAAGTTTGTACCAAAAAAAATGTTTGTTGGATAAGAGTTCTTTTAATAAGATATGTTTTTTATTGAAAAAAAGTTGTTAGTTACCAAAATATTAACGATAAACCTGCTAAAAGAATCGGACGAAATTTTTTTAAAATTAGGAGGTTTTGTTGAAAAAGAAAAGAGTTATGTTTAGACGGACAAAATACAAAAATATAAAATCTTTTATAATATTAATAAATTTATTTTTAAAACATATTCATGTTTGTGTTATAAAAAATAACTTATAAGACCTATTTTGCTTCAAAAATTAAAGTTTAGGACTTATTAGTTATTTATAAGAAAGTGGAGTGCATGAGCATGATTGGTTATACAACAAAAGGGGTAAATCATAAATGTAAACAAACAAAAACTAAACAATACAAGTTTTGATGCGTAAATTTTTCCTCCGTATTTCAATATTTTAATCCCTCTATGTAATCTCTGAAATCTGAAGTCACAAGTTAGTCCATCAAATCAACTTCTGTTTGAGTCTCCTGGAATCGTTCCCTTGCCCTTGATCTTCCACAAGTTTTCTCCTTAATTTTTTCATGTCTTCATCGGTCACCACACCGTTCGTTTTCTTGTTCAACTCGTATGCTGCAGCCAGCTTCCTCTTGCATTCTTTGATCGCATCATCATGACAAATTACTGAGAAAGCACAAATGATCGATTTGAATTCGAAAAGAATCGATTAAGCAGAGGAAATAATCACTACATGAAGGATTACACATTTACACTGACCTGGTTTTGGATAATCTTTTCCGATGATACATTTTGCTTTCGTTTGAACGCTTAAAGGAGCCTTCCATGGTTCATAAATATACTCCTTCGGCATATCTGTATTAAAAACGATGAGAAGTTTAAAGTTTCCTACTAAAATTAGCTAGAAGACCAAAGAGTACTCTCACCTTTTAGAACCGGAAGGAAGTGTCTGATATATGCGCCAGTCGGATCGTACTTCTTCCCAAATGAGATCGGAGAATAGATGCGATTATACTGACCAAATGGTAAATATACAGTTTTAGATCGATATTGTTTGTAGTAATCGGTTGAATTTAATGCGTAATTGATCATATATATACCTGGTAGAAGAACGACGAGCACGAGAGCCATAACCAATTTCCATTGTTAATCGCCCAATCTGAATCGATGAGGAGTCTCTCGAAAACATCACGACCTTTTTCCCAATGAACAAACTGTGAATACAGAGTTAGGGTTAGCGATTAGAAGATATACGAAGATGAAAGATGAGGGGATGATATAGAAACTCACCAGATCTCCACGAGTTAGAAAACATGCGACGGAATGGCGCGCCAGATGATGAATCCAACCCCATTTCCGAAGCTACATCAACATCAATAATCTTCAATTCAAAATTACTGGATTTAGCACAATTTCAACAACTTTCGACACAAGATTTGAACCTGAACCATGATGGCATCGATCCAAGGAAATCCAGTCCGAGCATCCCGCCATGCTGCTAACAGTTCGTCATCGTCATTCCAAGGTATCTAACAAAATTGCATTCATATAGTAATCAAAATGCAGAAACTGTATAAATCAAGTTTGTAAACAATGGCAATCAAACACGATGATTATCTCCGATTTCAACTTTTTCCTAAAATTTTGAGATTTTTACAATTTTCTTTCTGGTAGTTTCTTAAGTAAATAAATAAAATTGAGGATTTCATTTTTTTATTATTACTATTCAAGCATTGTACTTTTAATCTCGTTAGGAATTAGGATATTATACTTTGAAAAAATTACACAATCATGGCAATGAAAATTATTTTGTATCAAAACGACATTGCTATAACTGGATAGATTTTTCAATATAATAACACAAAATAGTAGGATGCTATAATAAACAAATATATGAATGTACATTGTTAAACCAAACAAGTGATTACCTGTTTGCAAATCGTATTACCACTCATACGATCAAAATTAGGAGTACCAAAACCAACAGTATAGAAAAAATCTCGCCATAACAACTGTATTATATAGATATCAAAATCACAAATCAAACCACTAAATTTGCAACCATTAATCTCTAAAAACAGATTGATTCACATTCACCTGCCCAATAAGTGAAACCGGTGGAGAGGTGTGATTTTTGACCTCTTGTTGAACCTCTTTGATGCACTGATAAAAGTACCTAGTAGATAGACAACCAAACTTCCATACAAATTGTATATAAACAATATTAGAAACTTACAAAGATTATAATCCAAAAAATAAAATAAAACTAAATCACTGACCCACTTTTAAATAGGGAGATAACATTGTTGTTGCAGGCTTTATAAAAGCAGAAGGATCACCCTTCGGTTTCTCAAATTTCGCAACCCATTCCTGAAATTATGCAATTATAAATCCCAAAAGGGAACTAGTGTGGGAGTTTCAGTTCCAATGTGTATTCTTGTGGCCATTGGGCTCTTCTGGTAAGGCAATTTACTGTGTATTCGATTTACATCCAGGACAGTGTGGGCCAGCTCAAGGGTGGGTGGCATAAGATATAACCCTTTTGCAGAAAAAAGGGTGCAAGTAGAAGATATCTCATTTTTACAAAACAAAAATTTACTAAAAAGATTGTGACCTTATTATTAGTTGATTCTTGCAGCCTCCTTAATGCTTCGGATTCACCACCTTTAAATAGAGGTGGGTCCGGGTCCTCCTACAAGATAATGATTCTTGTAAGATGAAAAGACTAAAATGGGTCTGTTAATAGGTAGGCTAATTGCTAATATCCATACCTCTTGAAAGTGTTCATACCCAAGTTGTTCAACTGTTGGAACTTCTGAAACCTCACAATTTCCAAGATCCCCAATTGGAGGAATTGTAGCGGGTGTGGTACATAATGAAGAAATCAACCAATGAGGTTCGCCAGCGAGTTTCAGAAATGATTGGTAACTCAGTGGTGGCTTTCCTCCATTCTGTTTGTTAAATCACACCATGAGGACAAAATGGTCATTTACCCATGCACTAAATAAGAAAAAAGAAAAGGGAAATAGGCGCTTAATAATGAGAAGCACCTTTTCGATAATCTCTACAGGATTGACCAATGTATGAGTAACCGGAGAGAATACTTCTATGCCATTCTCTAAAGCGTAGTTCTGAGGATAAAATGTCTTTTTTATTCATCAAAATCGAAATAATTTCAAACTAATATGAGAATATAATAAATATAAGGTTTGTAGAGATGAGATTAGAGAAAATGTTACCTTAACTTTAGCATCTAAAGCTTGATAATATGGTTCAGTGTCATACTCAAAGCACAACCTTTTTATGTCCCACTGCAAAAATAAAACGTATCTTAATGGACTAAAAGCACAAAATTGTTAAAATCTAGGTTCTGAATTTCAGATTTGCGAATTAATTTCTATTTGTCATGTTAAAAACAGGCATCTTATATATCATCTTGAAGCACTGAATCTCATACAAATCACAAGTAAAACCTAATTCTAACACTTTAAAAACTTGATTACATAATTACCTGCTTTAAGCAACGAATCAAAACCTCGCTAGGTTCGCCATGTAACACCAACAAGCGTGAACCGAGTTTCTTTAGACCGGAGTCCAGATCAAGTAGACTTTCGAGCAAGAACCGGATCCGGTTCAACCCTGCAAGGTTTGAACCGGGGGAGAAGGAATTCGGGTCGGGTTTCATGTAATGTGGGTCGATGACGAAAACAGGGTAGACGTGGTTAGAGTTTTTTGCAGCGTATTCAAGGGCTGGGTTGTCGTGGATCCGAAGACCCTTTCTGAACCACATCAAGGAGTTCGACCCGGATGTCATATTCGTGTTTCTATGAATAATGGGTGAAAGAGAGAAGCGGGTGAAGAAGGTGTGAGATGTGGGAAGGAGTTGCAATTGCATTTAAGAAAATGGAGGGAGAGGTGACACGACGAGGATTTTGAACCACTTTCTTTAAATTAGTTGAGAGAGTGACGTGGCCTTCAGCGGCTAACGTGCGTTATGGGATACATCCACCAATACAGAAATCCATCGATTGGTGAATGATGAAAAGAATAGGGACATATCCCGACCCAAAAAGGTGCGACCAATTTAAACCGGAGAAGAAAAAAAAGAGAGACAAGTTTACTTTAATTTAATATTTGCTATAAATAATTTTAAAACTTTCTTGTGTTGCAAAATAACCACAAAAATGGTCTATTGTGAGCTCAAGAACTAAGTATTGAACATGAACTATTTCAAAATAACTTCATGAATTACTATTAGGAATGATACTTGATAAAAGGTATTACAATTATATATTTTAGACCTGACATATATATATATATATATATATATATATATATATATGAGACTTGAATGTATGGAACATGATTTGATATGGTTAAAAGTTGTTTTTTTGACCAAACAGTTATGAAGGCCATTATTAGGGATGTTGTAAACTATACAAGAGGGGTATATGGTAAAGATGATATTTGTTCCTCCTATGTGTTAAAAGTTAGACATCTAAAGCGATTTACCAAAAGTTGAACACGAAAATGAGATTGATTGCTATCTATATTTCATATTCAACATGTTGTCTGTAACAAATGGATAACTAATAAACTTACCTTATACGTCATTTGGAGCTTTAAGCTTTTTTCGGAATGGGATGTTCTTGAATGACACTTCGTCATGTGTTGTTAGGTGCAGTGAAATGTTGATTGACAGTTCATCGTCCTTTATATCAATCTATAATGAGGTTGTGTTTGATATTGGTCTAACTGAGTCGGCTCAGACCTTTTTGGCTGACTCGGTCAGCTATATGTGTTTGATAAACATTTTATGCGGGTCTGATTCGAAAATCTAAAGCTGATTTGGAAAGAAGTTGGAAATCAGCTGACTGAGAAAAAGAGAAAAGTTTCCATCGGTGCCATTTCTTCTCCCCTTTCAGCGACTCCTCTTCTCCAGCAACCAACAAGCAACATCGACCTATTTCTTCCTCTTCCAACCGCCGATCGAAGCTCATTCCTCGTCTATCAGGTACATTTTTGTTGTTCTTTTCTTCTCCAGCTGATCAAATCTCCTTGCCCTAAAACTTTCGATTTTGGCCATAGTCAACCCCAATCTTTCTGTAAAAGTTTCAATTTATGTTGTTGAGATGGATACAAGTTTCGATTTTTGTTGTTGAATATTCTTTGGCTGTTGAGAGAGATAAAAGTTCTGATTTTTGCTTCAAGTTTCAATTTTTGTTATTGTTAGCTGTTCCTCCATGTTTCCTGTTGAGAGAGATATGTATTGAACTGCTTTTGAATCAAAATTGATATTCAAAGCATTAGTCAAAGCAGTTCTTGCATATATTTTGGAAATTATTTGTGTCTTTCAGTAAAGATTAGGGGGAAATGCTCATTAGATTCCCTTTAGTGGATAAATGCTCATGGGTCTAACTGGTTCTTGGTCTTATATTATAAAAATAAAAATTATGTCTTTGAGTCAAGATTAGGAGCAAATGTCTCTTGAATTCCTTCTCATCATAAATGCTAGTATTGTATTTTTTTTTTGGTGGGTCAAACCTCTTATTGCCTCATATATTATTCCAGTTATGTCTTTGAGTTAAGATTAGAGGCAAATGGTTCTCGGATTCCCTTTAGTAGATAAAGGCTAATGTTGTTGTGCTATCTTGTCTATGTCAAACTGGTTATTGCTCTTATCTTATGGAAATTATATATTCGGGTCAAGATTTGGTCCAAATGTGCCTTGTATTCCTTTAACTGATCAATGCTTAAATTATTATTCTATTCATATTGTAAACATTCTAACAAAGTATATGTAGGTCATATTTTAACCCTATGTATAACATGTATGAGATGTGTGGCATATGTGCTCAAATGGAGTGTCGAATATACCTATCAATGCTTATATTTTAGGTTGTTGTGTTTGATATTTATCTCATAGATAGAGTTATGGATGACAATTTTTATTTGGGTTTTAAATAATTTATGTGTAATTTATATTTTGTATGACAATTTGTATGTTTTTATAATTATTCAAAACTACATCCATCACTGTATAGAGTAGAAGGGTAAAATAGTCATCTTTCATCAGTCAGCACATTCAGTCAGATGTACAATCAAACAGTATGGTTTCTTACTCACTCAGAATTTATTACCCAGACAGACATTTCTCAATCAACACTTTCTCAGTCAGCAACTATCAAACAGGACCTGAGTCTTGTGCAAGTGAGAGATTGCTAGATTATATGCACAAGAATCATATTAAAATGATATTTGCTAAAAACATATTATCTTATAGGTCACACCAATAACAAGTTGATATAAATATAAAATTTATAAGAATTTGATTTTTGATAAATAATTATAATTCTTGTAATTAATTAGAAATTATTTGTGGTTTATATCATAAGGTCTGATATACAAAGTCATGTATATTTTTTTGGACTTAAATGTTTTTTTGTCTTTTAATAAGATGCCATGGGTTTATAAAATATAAAGGTTTGGAAGAATTTTTTATAAAACTCTTTCGTTCTTTTATATAAAATCCAAGATGTGGGACAAGTTAAAAGCCAGTTTCTTTAATAAGAAAAGACAAAACTGTACAAATGGTCGTGTGGTATGTTGAAAAATATCACTATGGTCCAAAAATGTTTGGACTAGCACCAGTAGTCCAAAACTTTCATTTTGTTGCGTTTTTGGTCCAATCTTTTATGATTATTTTCAAAATGACGGATCTACCCCTGTTAACATAATTTTTTTTCTTATTTTCTGATTAAAAAAAAACAAAAAAAATAATAATCAAAATAAATCTCTCTCTCTCTCTAAAAAAAGAAAATAGATATAAAAATCTCCCCTCTCTCACGCTTAGAAAATCTGCAACAAGACCTAAACA